ATGACTTAAGCTGCTCATCAAATGAATATTAAATCGCAAAATTACAATGAACTGTTGTAAGGCATATTTTGCATGCATACATTGACACAGGGTGGTAGAGTTATAAATTTTATTATGCGTTTAAAATATTTAAAGACTAAAAATTAAAAGACTAAAAATTAAATTTCAATAATTTTGCTTTTTTTATTATTAATTTACATTTAAGAGATTTAATGGAAAACAGTTGTCATCTAAGTGAACTAGTACCACTACTAGTGCCATAATCATTTAAATAAAAATTCATTTTTGTTGTGATTTTTGTGATTTTGTAAAAAAAACAGTACAAAACAAAAAAAAATTGTGAAAAAATTATAACTAAAATTACTGCGTGAGTAGTTTAGTTTTTCTCTTTGAATGGGCGAAAAGTGTAGCTGAAGCGCATCGAGTTTTGGTGGAAGTTTTTGGTGAAAATGTGTGGACTTCTAGATGTTTAAAAAGTGGCGACTTTAACGTCGAAGATAAGGAGAATTCTGGACTAAACAGACGGGTGTGGTGAACTAGGAGCTGCTAAAACAAAAAATAAGGTGACTTACAAGAAGATTTCCCAATTGAAAAAAAGAGATTCGAAAGATTTTGGCCTACCTCGTAACAAGTAAGAAGTTAGAGATTCATATCAGAAGAAAATTCTTGAAAAAATAATAAATATGAAAAAGACTAAATAAATAGTTTAAAAGTGCTGTAAAAATTGTTATAAAAAACTACTACAAATCATTTTTTTAGTTTCTTAATATAGCAAAAATAATAATATTGTTTTAATTAACCGAAATAATTACTATACAAACCATTGTGAAAAATACAATCGAAAGTACCCAGAAAATCTCAAAAAATAAATGAAACCATTAAGAATTAAAAAAAAAAAATAAAAAAATAAAACAAAATTATATTTAATCCTTTTTTTGGAAAATAACGAATCTAAATTCTATAAAACTTACTTTAAAAAGTACCACAAAAACTACTTGGTTCTTATAAAAACAACAAAAAATTAATTTAATTAAAAGAAAAGATTAATTTGAAAAAAATTTTAGGGCAAATTATTAAAAAAATAGTTTTTAATAAATCCTAACACTTACAAAAGTTATGTAGAGAAATCGTTTAAAAAAAATAAACAAATTTTGCAAAAAAAAAAAAAAACATTATTAGTTTAAAAAAAAATTGCCAATAATTTTGACAAAAAATATATAACATTTTATGAAAGATATTTTTAAGTTTACCGTAAAAATTTACCATCAAAAAACTTATAAAAATTCAAAATTTAAATTATGTAACAGAAAAGATTACTTTAAAAAATATTAATGTAATAATATTGTAAAATGCATTTTAAAAATCTTAGAAAAAAATTTTTGAAAACTATAAAGAGATAAAAAAATAATAATTAAAAAAATCGATTAATAAATCAAAATAAAAGTTAAAAGAAACTAATTAAGAAAAATGCCAAAAAATTAAACAAAAATTCGTTAAAAATTTTCTTTGCTACGTAAAAAATGTAAGAAAAGGCAAATTAGAAAAAACCAAATTATTTGATTTTAATTAGATATATTAGCCCAAATAGAAATACTTTTATTGCTGGAGCACCACCCTATATATGCCACATATAATGACCGCGAATACTACACTGCGTATGAGCAACATTCGTAGTCGACCTTTAAAATAAAAGAGTATTTACTCAGAATTAAATAATGTTAAATACACACGCACACACACTCATATATGCACATGCAATGTGTATGTAATTAAATCTATCAAGTTTATTCGTAAATGAAATGTTAAAATGTGTCTTTACAACTGTAACACACTATGGTACAACATCAGAAGGGCGTAAACAAAACGCCAAACGGTAAACACTAGCAGCCAGTGGCAACAATAAAGTAACAGAAAAATCCGACTGCAATAATGGTTAAAGTCAAACAAATAAAAATAAAAAAGCGAAATAAATAAAAAAAAAAACTTGCATTTGGCTGTTATTTAATGCGACATACACCCACTCTCTCGCTCGCTCACTCACTGACTCCCCCACTTACAGGGCGCACGCCTCACACCAACAGTCTTGCTTCACCGACGCTTACGCTCCGTTGTGTGACAATGGCTTTGACACAAATCTCTTTGGTAAACCCAGACATGACACGCTGGTAAGACTCATTGCGCGCTTGAAAGTTGAGTTCACGCAGCCAGTCAAGGGAGGCGCTGAAGCGGACAGCTTTGTGCGTTGTGCGAGCATAAGCAGAATAATCAGCAGCTGTAGAAGCCAAGTAACGTAAGAGCAAGGCAAGAAGTCACGGTGTATATGTTTCAAACGAAATTGCGTTATCATCATTGTTGTCAGCAAGAATCGTTGCTTACTTTGTTGTTACACACGCAGCAGAACTGTAGCAGTTTGACAGAAAAATCAAAAGAAAATGTAGCTTTATTTCTCCCACCTGGTTTAGCTACATGCATCCTTAACTCCACTTCGCACTGCCAACTCTCGGTGGCATGCCACTGATATTTCGTATGATGGCAGTTGCAGCTGCAGACACGCTGATGCTCTGATGATGCCTTTCATTTCACAATGGTCGCGTAAAGTCTGACTGATTTGCAGAATTGAGTGGATACTTTTAAAGCTTAATCTTTTCATATATTAAAATAGAGATAACCGATTATTATTCCTACTAAATTTTCTTAATTTACGCGTGGATACAGCTTGTGGGGTTTCTTCGAGGCAAGTTTACCTTAAAAAAATATATTTTGACATAAAAGTATAAGTTGAATAATGACTCCGCTACTTCTATGTTGTCTTACTGTATCTCGCAACCAGGTGAACAGCAAACTATAGTCGCTTGAATTGAAAGGGAGTATCGGATAAAATTATAGCGATCCTTGTAAAGAAAATATTTTACATATTTCGTTCAAATCCAACTTGTTTGCAGTCCTCTGGTCCGCTGCCAGAAAACAGAAATATTCTCTTTGGGCATATCATTCAAGAGCTTTACTTAAACGAACCATAAATATTAAAATAGTTCCATCCAGTTCCCATAAAAAATTTCAAATAAAAGAACAGGCCACTCTCCAGTCAACTTCCCGGTGAGAAGAGGAGAACTCCTGTCAATCTAAGCAAAAAGCCACCTAAGAGGGGATTAACAACAGTTCGGTAAGTTGACCAGAAAAACCAAAAATAAAATATATATTTGTTCGGTATTTCTATCCTTTTTTATATCCTCAACATAATCTCCGGTGATTAAAGGCTATAGATCCACTTCGAAAACAGTCTTCAAAGTCTCTCTTTTCACGCTTGCCAAGTTCAACATTACCCACATTAATAATCTCCTCGTTTCTATTGAAACCTTTCCTTTTGTAGTTTTTATATTTCTTGGAAATAACCAAAAACCCCAAGGTGCAACATCCGGGGAATATGGTGTTCGACGTATTTCTTCGATCCCAGAGATCGTATGATAATAAAATTATTCGTTATTTCAACAGTGTGTTGGACTTTATCATAACTACAAAGACGTCATCCGTGAAAGATTTTCTTTTACCTTTTCAGGGCTTGTCGTCTATGGAAAAATATCTGGTTTAGAATCTTCGGAGTCATTAAGAAACAGTCTCTAAAGATGGTGCAATCGTTCCATATGCAATTTGGCCTTTACTAAATATTTGTGTTGACTGAAAATTACGCTGAGTCCCAAAGAGAATCGAATGGCGAATTTCTGTTTGCTTTGGTGGTGGAATTTCGCCTGACCTTATCCTCAGCTATCTTGCGTTTTCCCGTTTCCAATTTTTTTACAATTTAAAAGAAAGCCTAATAAAGTAATTCCAAAGGCTTTGGGGTTTTTAGATTTAACAAAAGCAAATTGAAAGTCACCAAATGATCGAACTTTTGTTAATCCCCTCGTTTTTCGCGAGCTTCAAGTAAATAAATCCAAGGCGGCTTCATAAAGGAGCGCAAATTTAGTACCGGAACGGGAATGAGTCGCCGAATATTGACAATCACGCCGGTGGCTGAACGTTCCGCCGCTATCCACAATAAATCAAAGATCTTCAACATATCTCAGATTGGCGCCAATGCCTCGACAGAAAGGATATGACTAAGAATGCCTTTTGCGTGGATGTAACTAGAATTGCCTACCGGCAGTGGAGAATTTAAGAGGTTAGCGAGAAGCATGTGCCGACAAAAAAAGGATGTAGACTAGATTCGAAAAATTCTGCTAAAGAATAAGGTGATTTTCAAGAGTATTTCCCAATTGAAAAAAGGAGATTCAAAGATTTTGGCTTAACTCGTAACAAGTAAGAAGTTGGAGATTCCTATCAGAAGATATTCCAGGAGCTGTATAAGTGAAGCTGATAAATCTGTCACATCTGTTGTGTGACTGCGCAGCGCTAACTACAACTAGATATTGAAATCTTTCAGCTTCTTCTTTGCCAAAAACATTTTTTTAATCACTTCAAAATTTTTTCAAATCTATTAAGGAAAACAAATTCGAATGAAATACAATTCAAAACAGAAATATCCCTCCCAAACTGCACCACTACAAGGTATATGAAGAAGATTGAAAGCTCCAATCACTCATACTGAAAAGCTCTCTATGGCCTGCATATAAGCTTCCGCTCTCAATATATTCACTAATGATTCAGCTATAAACGTTGCTCGCCCGACGCCCGAAACGAATTCGCCGCAAACTCGCATAACAATTTCTGGATAGAGCTGCACATACAGACAATAACAAAACACTACCACCACCAGGAAATGTGGAGTGGAAGCGCGCTTTTCCCGGAGCGATTTCAAATTGTACTGGCCATACGCAATGCCATTTGCTCTGCGTGTATGCATGTGTGAGTGTACGAGACACACATACGAATGTTGATAAGTGCCAGCATCGCTGTGTATGTCGGCGTAAGTGTGTGTTTGTGCGCGCGTACTCAAATCACACACTTTCGAGGCATCGCATGCATCAAGTGAAAAACAGTTTTCCCGGGAACGCGTAGCGTGTTGAACGTACAAGTTCAAAAGCAGCAGCGACCAAAAGCAAAAGTGTTAAGAAGGAAAAGTAAATAAGTAAAATAAAAAACATCTGTGAAATGTAAATAGAAATAGTTACACTGACAAACTATTAAAGGAAAAAAGTGAAAAATTTGTGTTTTTTGTGATGAAAAACTTGTTGGCAAAAAGTTTGACAAAGACAAAATAGAAAATAAACAGCAGATAAGAGCATAAATAGCAGCTAATTCAACAGAAGGCATAACAGGAATATTGAAACGAAATACGAGTGCTCCGAATTTTAACGGTAAATAGTATGTAAGATAAAACTTTAACGCACTTCGCACAAAATCAACATAATTTTTGTTTAACTTATTTAAAGAAAAAAATTCAATTAAAAATATACTAAAAATAAAAATACAAAAATTACAAAAAATTCATTAATAATAAAAAATATTAAATAAAACCAAAAATAAAGAAAAAAATGAAAAAAATTGTATATGCAATAAAACAAAATGAAGTGAGCAAATATAAATGAAATAAAGGAGAAACTAAATAGAGATATAAAGCACAACAAATTGAAAAAACAGCAAATGAACATAAAATAAAACATAATTAAACAGTGAAATTCAAAAAATAAATAAAATAATACAAAATAAAATAGAATTTAATACACAAACTAAATAAAAACAACAATTATAAAACAATAAAATTTAATCAAATAAAATATTGGATAAAACAAATCCAAATAAAATATAACAAACTTAATAAACAACACAACAAAATTAAATGAAATAATATAAAGTAAAACAAAATATAATACAAAATTTAAACAAAATGCAAAAAATACAATAAAATTAACTCAAATATAGTAAAATAATAAACAACATAAATCCAAATAAAAATTAAAAAAATTAATGAGCAACAAAATAAAAATGCATACAATAGCATTAAACAATAAGAGATAAAATAAAATAATATAAAATTAAATTAATTTAAATAAAACTTAATTAAATTAAATAAAAATGATTTAAAATAAACTGAATAAAAATTAACAACGTTAAATGCATTAAAATACAATAAACAAATTGTATAAAGTTGAAAAAAAAATTAAAAAAGCAATTAAATCAAATTAAAAAATTAAATAAAATAATATATGCTTCAATAAAATTGAGTAAAATTAATAAAAAAAAGGAAAAAAGAAAAAAAAAATACAATTAAATAAAATAAAATAAAAATAAATTAAATTAAATTGAGTTAAAATAAATGATATTAAATAGAATAACCTAAACTAAACTAAAATAAAATAAAATCAAGTAAATTAATTATTAAATTAAACTTAATTAAATTAACTATAAAAAAATAAAAAAATTAAATTATATTACATAAAATACAATAATAAGTTAATTTAGTTAAATTAAACTAAATTAAATAAAATAAATTAAAATCAAATCAAATAAAATTAAATAAGACGAAATAAAACTAAAAATATAAAACGAAAATATAACAAATTAAATCAAGTGAAATACAACAAAGTAAAATAAATCAAACTAAACTATTGTATAAATAATTAAAGCAAATGAAAAATAATTAAATTAAAAATAAAAACAAAATAAACTTAAATAAAAAAAATAAATATATATAAAGTAAAATAAAAATAATTAAAAGGAAATAAAATAAAAAAATTACAAAAAAAAAATAAAATAAAAATAAATAAAAAGTTAAAAACATTAAGTAAAAAAAATTAAATATTTTAAGGCAAAATAAAAAAATTAAACTGAAAAAAAATTAAAACAAAAATTAAAAAAGAGATAAAATAAAGCAACAAAACAAGATTTTACGAAGTTAACTTATATTAATTTTGGGAATTGAATTGAAATATAAAGATAAATAATAAAAGAAAATAAACTGAAATTAAATTTATAATTCAATTGAAAAAATTAAAAAAATAATGAAGCAATTTAGAAAAAAATATAAAATATAATAAAAATAGGAGTCTTTTTCAGACTGTTCTTTCATTTCAAAAGCACATTCAATAATTGCAAAACCAACAATCAAGTTTTCGTATATCAACAGCAACGCCATAGGTAATAACTTGAAATGGCACATATATATACGTATGAAGAGAAAAAGTATGAGCAAAAAACGCTGATAAAAATTTTGGGCCGACTGCTACTCAAACACATATATATTTATATATATATATATATGTATTTGGCGCTTTGTAACAGTTGAAGCGATTTTCGGCACAGCTCCTCCAACAGTTCATGCTAAGCCACATCCGAATGACTGAGGAGATTTATTTTATGTCAGAAATACACTCCGAGTGATTGACATTCCCTGCCGAGGGGCGACCGTGATTAAAAAATTTAGCTTAATTTTCAATTTAAATTAATTTTCTATAACTTTTTGGATGGTAGTGCGAGTTCAGGATTCGAACTCGACCCTTCCGAATGGCAGTACATTACTTACCAATACATATTTTGGTATATACGTGTATGTATATACTGCCCTTGATAAATCGCAAAAGCAGGGCATGTCGTCCTGATAACGGTTTAGCGTATGCCAATGGGGGAATTGTATTATATTTATTTCGTTATAACGGTAGATATTGAAATGAAGGTGGTGGCAGTTGAACAAAAATGAATTTGAATCAACTGAAATTCGTTGTTATTGTTTTATGGACGTAGTTTATCAAGGGTATAAAAGTAAGCGCTTTGTTATTATACTACATAATACACTTGGCTTGCATAGCTATGTGGTAACGTATATATGTTTGTATAAACTTATAACTCTATGCTGTTCCAATACATATCTGCCTCTTTGGCTTTACTCGAACGGCCTCTCAAATGAATCTCATTTCCATGCGCTTTTATATTTTTTATCATTAAATTTGCTGAATGTGCGCCTTAATACAATTAATGCGTGAAAAAATTTTCGGTGAATGTCAAGGTTCAAGGCGGAACGAGTGTCATTTAAATAAAAGAAATGTGTGAATGAAAGCACGCGCACTTAATTAAGCGCATGAAGGCTGAGAATACCAGTTTTCTGTGACATGGGAGCGGGAATGGATTTTTTATTGATACCAGCTGTGGGAGTCAAAGTGAAGTTAAATATTATTTTTGGAAAAAATTGTATATTTAAATTTAAGACTCCACAAAAATTTCTTATTTTGCAACTATTCTGTTTAGAATTAAAATTAATTATTTTTAGTTCTTTACACTCTGCAAATGTTTTAAACTTTATACCCTTAACTGAAATAATTGTATTCTATACTTTTTTAATAAATTCCCTTTCCATCCGCCCTATTATGAGGTAAGAATAATTTTATTTTGTTTAAACTTACCGCATTTCGGATTACAATCGGATTAGTGTCCATTTAAGCCTCTTATACTTTACAACTATTGTATAAATAGAAATTATATCCACGTACATGCATTTACGTTTATATAACAAATTTATAAAAGTAAAATTTAACACTAGTTAACCCGCAATATTGCGTAAAAATAGTGGATTAATAAGTTAACCCCTCTTAGATTCAATATCTAAAACTAATAATAATAATGGCCGCCGAGTGGTACGCCTTGCGTACTGCCATTTGGAAGGCTCAGGTTCAAGTCCTAGTGTCTTACAAACTTCCAAAATTTTATGGAAAATTTATTTAAGCAAAAAATTTAGCTAAATTTTCTAATTGCAATCGCCGCTCTGTAGGGAATATCCACCCCTCTGAGTGTATTTGTGACATGGAATACGAGCTCCTAATAAAAAACCATCAGCCGTTCGGAGCCGGCTTAGTATACATTATAGGTCCCTTCATATGTAGGAAAAACATTAACGCGCAAAACTACAAACTGAAAGAGGAGCTCGGCCGAAAATCGTTTCAGCAGTTACAACGCGCCAATTTTATGTATATAATAATAAAATGGAAACAACTTGTTTTGCATTAGATGAAACCAAAACCGCATCCATTATCATTTTATTCGAGAATGTGGTTGCCGAGCCTGTTTGAGGTGACTAATTAAGTTGAAACAAATAAATTTTTGGTTAAATTTTGTATATTATTTATATTTGAACATTCTCGTCAATTACAATTACAAGAAAAAAAACTAAATGGTAAAGTTTACAGAAAAACTTATAAAAAGATCAAAAATGCTGCTTGCTTAAATAATGAAAAATTTTGCAATAAAACAAACACAGAAAATAAAATAAAATAAATAAAATAAAAATAATTAATTTATATAAATATTAAAATTATACAAAACAAATAAATAAAAAAAATGAAGGAAAATGAAATAAAATAGATCAAATTAAAATAAAAGAAAATTAAATGAATAAACTAAAATAAATTAAAATAAAATATAAAAAAAGAAAAAAACATAAATTGAATGATAATATAAAAATAAAATATAATAAAAGAGAGTTAAATGCATAGATAAAATCATATAATACAAAGTTAAAAAACAATAGAAAAATTATTTAAAAATTAAATTAGTTGGATATATTAAAAAAATAAAAATAAATGAAATAAAATAATATTTAACATAAGAAAAATATAATAAAAAATTTATTTAAAATAAAATAGTAAGTGAAATTTTTTCCAACAAAATAAAATAAACACAATAAAATAAAAAAATGTGATTGTGTTAAATGAAATCAAAAATAAAATGAAGTAAAATAATACAAGAGGAAATTAAATTAATTTATTTGTATATAATTCTCGCTTCGTAACCGCTTAAGCTATTTTGGACCGATTAAATAAAATTAAATAACTGAAAATAAAACTGAACAAAATTATGTTTAACAAAATTAAATATAATAAACTGAAAAAATAAACTTTAAATAAAATACGATAAACAAAAGTAAAGTAATAATAAAAAAATAAAAATCCAAAGTGAAATAAATAAAAATAAGATAAAATAATTAAAACTAATATTAAATTATTTAAAAAAAATAATAAAACAAAATAAGTAACACAAAGAGAAAGAAAATAAATTAAATTAAACATCAAATAAAGTAATATAATATAAAATAAGATAATATAAAAATATTAAATATTTAAATATTAAAACCAAATAAAACAAAACAAAACAAATTAAAACAAATAATTAATAATAATAATAAATTAAATAAACTTATTGAAATAAAAAAAACCAAACTAAAAGAAAATTAAATAGAATAAAATATAATAAATTAAAAATAATTGATTAAAGTAAAAAAGAATATAATAAAATAAAATAAGATAAAATGGAATAGAGTAAAACAAATAAGGATAATTAAAAAAATAATTTATATGAAATTAAATTAAAT